TTGATTGAAGGCAGGGAGAAGAGCCTAACATAGGTGTTGAATGTTTGGGATTGTTAAAGCTATGTAAATATCTGGGGAGCAGTACGTGGATTCAGCAGAAGATTTTAGCTAATGATCTGTACTATACAATGTCTGCAACCACAAAGAAGAATCTAAGTAAGCGATTGTTTAAACTAATCCAGAGAGTTAAACACTTTTGAATTAAATTGAGCTAGGCTATATCTTTCTTCTGCGTGGGTATGAAGTGAGAGAGATCAAGGGAAAGCCGGATCATAACCTCTGCTTAGAGCAACTCAAGACTGCTAATGAAAGCATAGTAGCCAAAAGGGGCAGGCTGTGGGTGGCTCAGTAAAGGGGACAGCAGTACAAAGTCAGGAGATGCTGAAAGCATGGAAGAGAGTGGCAAAGTCACCCTCTGTGAGGGAAAAGGACAGCTTCCAAGCTACCCGGGAAATGTTCTTTTTCTGCTGCTTGCTTTGTTGTAAATACACAAAAGTTATGTATTGTCATTTACTTGTGGTTCCTTCCAGTAAGAAAACCTCACTGTGTGAAGCCATCATGTGGTTTCAGCAGTCCTCTGGCAAAAGGCACGCTATGTACAGCTGAGAGTATCTTAGCTAAATTATATATACAGCATCAAACTGCAATGAAGAGAGGGTATCAAGGATCGATTGTAAAGATTTAGGAAAAAGCAGGGGGATTTAGGACAACTGCAATGCCCTGAGTGTTGGTGCATTAAAGAAAAAACCTACTTGGACTGGAATAGATTATATATTCAGCAGCTGTGAATTAGAACAAAAATACAATCTGGAGGGAATAATTAATTTTCAGGTGGTGTTTTTTGTTACGAGCTTGCATCTGTAAATGAAACATATGAAAGCAGCTTTTAAATGATTGGTTCCTTACTGCAGCCGTGGACTTATTTCTTAGCGTACAGAGCGTTGTTTGCTGCTGCTTTGACTTTTACCCTTTAGTCAGTCACCTTCCAGTCTGCTTCCTCTCAATCATTTTTAATAGAATGCCTTTTTGATTACAGAAAATTGATTGATACACTGCTCTAATGAAAATGCTAGACAAATGCTCCTTCTTGGAACTGACATCAGGAATGTTATACAAGACATTCCTAAATACACTGGCAGCTGCCCTGAATGTAATGAAATCATGGAAATTAGAAGTATTGCGCTCTCTGTGTGGCCAGCTCAGGACTGTTTTCAGTATGTTACTCCATTTTGCTGTGAATTTCAAAAAGAAACCCTTTTCCTGAATTTTACTTGGGATATTCTTCAACATGCTTATAATTCCCACAATCAGGAAAATTATCCTGATATTCTGAGGTACTATTCCTTTTTTTTTTTTTTTATTGCACACAACTTCTTACGCTTACATCCCTTTGTACTACAGTAAATCATCCCTCTTGCAGCAGAGAGTTTACCGTCTTCAGAAGATTGATAACTTTTCTGGTAGAAATGCACATGTAGGGTGAAATCCTATTCCCACTGCAGCCAGCAGTAAAATTCCCACAAACTTAAGTGGTTTGGATTTCGCATGCAGTTTTTAGTCTTCTCTTGTACCACACTTTAATTAATCCTTAATACAGTCTTAGTACAGAAGGTATCTAAATGCAGGAAAGGTAGAACAGTGGCAATGATGCATACTTGTGTTTCACTAGCACCTTTCCAGGCAAGGATCACAAAGCAGCTTATGAAAGACAGGTGAGACCTGCTGCAGAGCATAAGGAATGGATATTATTTTCATACTTCTAAAGTGCAGAGAAGATAGAAGAGAAGGACCTTATCTCTGCAGCAGAGCATATGTGTATGTAAATGGAAGCACCGTCCTGGCTTCCATGTTACCTTTCCTTTGTCTGTGATTTTATCACCTATTGCTTCTCTGTAGCTTTGGTGTATTTTCGTCAGATATTCTGAATTTGAGTTTTCCAAGATGAGTCCAATTTTCTTTACCTGTTTTTTAGCACTCCAGATGCTTTAGTTTCTTTGTTGGAGACTTACAAATGTTCCTAAAGTAACTGCAGTTGTGTTTGTTTGAAGTAATAATATTCCGTTCCTGTCAACTGTTAATAGCAGTATTAAGCAAGAGTCAATTGAACAGAAGCTTAGCACAGATTCATACACTGTCACTTAGCACTTGCTCTTAGAAGCAGCAAGTTCTGTCTCAACGATAAGGAGCACTGAAAGGGGACTGTGGCTGCCTTGGATGTTGGGAAGAAAGGCACAGAAACCTATTTCCACCTTCTTCATTCTTCTTTTCTCTTCAGCATGAACATTCTGTTCAACAGCAGTCAGAGAAGATGTGACGGTTTTCTAACGTATTCTGGTTTGTCTTTATTCCTTGCCACAGACTTGCAAGAGCCTTTCTAGAATGTGGAGTGGCAGGGACTTGGGCTGAGGGGTGGCTTGCACTGAAGTTGGAGTCACTGTGACTCTCAGTGAAAAAAACAGCCGTTTTGAAAGAATGACATGGAGATGGAATAGGGCGTCTACATCACTTCTGTCTTGTTGTCGCCCAGCTTTACCTTGCTCTCAGATGCTGCCGTTGGCACAATGCAGAGACGGCTTACAAAAGAAAGCCTGATAATGCTGGTAGGTGTGCTGTAGAGCACAGAAATCTGTTAGAAGCAGGTTTCCATGTGCATGATGCGCTGCAAACAAGATGGTTTCTGGCATGAAAAGCCTTCAAGATATCAAATCATTAAGAATGCTATGGCCAGAAGCTTTCATAATAAATTACTGTAAACTCGTGAGAGATTGATCTTTTTTGATTTCGGAGAAAATAAATCAACAGTATGAAGTCAGCTCTATTACAGTTTCAAACAAGAGATGGACTCCTGAAGTATTTATTCACTTTCTGTAAATATCACCTATGAGCCTGTATATAAAAGGTTAAATGTTTGCAGACTATACCCTTTGCCTTAAAGATCAGAGACAAATTACTATTTTTACTTCACGTTCCCTTGATGAGGATAATGATAAACATCTGTCACTTTGCTGCTTAGCCAGCTAAGAATCTTATTGCAATCTGTAATTTAAACAGTGAAGAAAAAAAAAAAAAAAAGAAAGAAAAAGAAAAGAAAAGAAAAAAGAACTACAGACAAACTGCACTTTATATAGACAGCAAAGAAGAAAAGAAAGAGAATAGAAGTCAAATGCAGGGGAACGGGGAAGGGGGCATTTTTGATCTGCAGTTACTTGGCTAAAATCTGTGGATATATGATAGATGTACGATTTTCCATTTATTTGGTATTTCACAGGGAAAATTACAGTTAGTTTCTTTTCAGACGTGGAGGCGAAGGAAAACACTCAATCTGCATGCTGTAACTTGTTGGCATATGCAGTTTATTAAGAAAATGATTAAGGTTTATAGGGTAGTGTGTCTACTGGTGTTACAGAATTGAAAACACTATTTTTGTCAAGAGCTCTTTCAGTGTCCTCCACAGTCCCAAGATTTTTAGGAAGCACTGCTAATTATTTTTAAAGTCCATAGATTAGCTGGCTTTCCAGTAATTCATCTGTAATTGAAAACAATCTGAACTTTTGAAACTTCTTTTACAAACATTTAGGTTTGTTTCTAAATGGTACGCTGGATCTTATTTCTTAACAAAACTATAACTTAACAAATTGCAACCATTGCCATTTCATTAGACTGGACTGACCAAGCCATAGTATACAAGGAGTAAATACAAAGTGGTCTGCTTGCCAATGCTGCATGAGCAGAAGCAGACCCTGCGTTAGGGTATGAAACTAAGAATCTCTTTTTGGCCCAGCAAGAATGGATTTCATGAGGGGAGAAGTGTCTTTGGTGACATGTTTACATATCTAGCTCTAATGGCTTTCACTAATGGTTAGCTACTGATTTCAACTGCTCCAGGAATCTGTAAAGCACTTGCGATGTGCAAATTTTAGCTAAACACTGCATTGTAGATGGAGTTGGGCTGACAGGGGTCTGGCTGGTATATAACTAGTTCTCATTATTGGGTTATTCACTTTTTGCAAGTACTTTCTGTGTATTCATGTTATGCTTCTAGGTACCAACAGAACAGGTTTGGATTTTATAGTTCCTGTTAATATGGCTTTGGTGGTTGTTTTCAGGAAGAAGTATTATATGTCAGAGTTTGGGGAAAGAACATTGTACTTTCCAGGTCGGAATTCCATTCTTTTGGTGTCTTTGAGCCTCAGAAAGCAGTTTGATTTTCACCAAAAGGCTATGCTTTTTTTAGGTTTTCTTATGTTTATACAGGCCAGACAAAGCCAAGTATATACCTTTTACCTACCAGTTGAAGTTCCAAGTATTTTCTTTAATTAGGTCAGCTGTTTACATACAAAGAAGTTTTTTTCTGTTCAGTGACAAAGAGACCTCTAACATATATTCCAGCCTATGTTAGCTGAGCCTTGAGCACTGGAACCAGTGATGCTTTTGCTGTTATCTTTCCTAAATCCTTTGTTTATATAGGTGCTATTCACATCTAACAAGCTTGAGGCTGAAGTGTGGAACTTGTCACAACTGAGTCAGTCTTAAATAACAAGGATGATTGTTACCCATAGGAGGAGGGTAAAATTCAAAATCCAGACTTATGGTGCTGCTTTATTGCATGGGTCAAGCTGGCTAAATACAAATGGTGAAAGATTTGATAATAAGTATTGCAGTAAGTGAACTGAGATAATTTCTTGGGGTTTCGTTTACCGCCGCACGTATTTGAAAACTTTCTTTAATACAAATTTACAAATTTGTGAGGAAATATATAATGTACTTTGGGAAAAAGGTCTTGCATGTCATTGCATTAACCTCTCAAAGTCCAGATTTCATGACCTTCAACACTGATGTTAAACAGGCCAGTGCTTCATATTTTAACCTCCAGACATTCTTTGTACAAGTTATGTTGCTGGATTAGTACACTCTAAGTCCAGGTTTTTTCCCCAATATATTTCCAGTTTACTGCAGTCTGAAAGACTTGACTTTTCTTTTTTTTTTTTTTTTCTGTATAGACTGAAAATGATGAGAATGGCCAAGCAGACAATTTTTCAATGGACCCCCAGCTGGAGAGACAGGTGGAGACAATTCGAAATCTTGTGGACTCCTACATGTCTATTATCAATAAATGTATCCGAGATTTGATACCAAAAACAATCATGCATCTTATGATCAATAATGTAAGTAACAGCCAGGGTTCTAAATTATTTTAACCTGTTTGTCAGATCTCTTGCACTCACACAAACACAACTCTTGAATACAGCAGCAACAACATCATGTACTAAAGAGAAGAATGCACTCCCGTAGAGAGTAAGGAGAAGAATGTCACACTCTTAGACAAAATACTTCAGTCTTCTGTAGTAGTATTAAGTTCTGCAGCCTTCTGAAAGCACTGCCTTGAGTGCTTACTCCAAAATGCTAAAGATTGAATTAATTTACATCTTAATCAGAATGTAAGTTATTATTTAAAGGTAAATCAAGGATTTTTATTTTTTTTCTCTCTCTTGCTTTTGATATATCAGGAAAACGGAGTTGGGAGCTCCATCTAGGCAGTCTGTGAGAGCAGCAGAGCAGAGCTGTGCTTCCTTGATTTTCAATCTGTAGCCCTTTGTCATGGTTTCTTAAAGCAGTTCTTATTTTATTTGGATTTCTTTATATTTTCATGTTACTGTTTTCAAGGAATAAATCTAGAAGCCTTGGATACTGTTGTTTAGATAAGCAGATGTGGTTGGTTGATTTATTGTGTGTGTCTTTCTTAGATCTGAAGATTATTTGGTTAAAGAAATGGCTTTGCAATATCATTGTTTTTCCACTGCACTAGGATCTCAGCCTTTGCTTCCTGGCAGAGTTCTGAATAGACCTGGTTGAAAACTAAGCTTAATATTAGTGCCACTGCTGCCATATAAATTTAATAACGGGGAGCACAGCTCCTGATAGTTCTGGATCGCACCTTTTCTGTGAGGTCATCAAACCAGCCTTTACAAATGCAATATGCTATAAGGCAAATCTTGTTAGAAAGGAGCATCTCTGCTATGAGGATAGGCTGAGGGCAATGGGATTGTTGAAGAGAAGACTCCAGGGGGACCTTAGAGCTGCCTTCCAATACCTGAAGGGAACCTACAGGAAGGCTGGTGAGGGAGTTTTTACAAGAGTGTCCAGCGACAGGACAAGAGGAAATGGTTTTAAACTGAAGGAGAGTAGGTTTAGACTAGATCTTAGGAAGAAGATCTTCAGTACAAGGGTGGTGAGGCTCTGGAATAGATTACCCAGAGAGTCTGTGGATGCCCCCTCCCTGGAGGTGTTCAAGGCCAGGTTAGATGAGGCCTTGAGCAACGAAGTCTAGTTGAGAGGTGCCCTTGCCCATGGCAGGGAAGTTGGATTAGATGATCTCTGGGGTCCCTTCAAACCTAAGCCATTCTGTGATTCTATGATTTACTTCTGACTCTGAGCCACCTCTACCCTTCCTCTGATGGATTTCATTAGACCTGTGGAATTTGTGTTGCACTTAAGAATTAAGGAAATTTCAATGGGATTTCCTGGTACACATAATACAAGCAGAATTTTTGCATAAGGGCGAGAGATATTCCATTAACTTCTTTAGGTTTAGGGGAGTCAGGCTCCAAATAATGCTCTAGTCATGGGTGAGTTTTTACAAAAGAGCATGGGAACAATGGAAATGCCCTTTTTTTTCTGAAATCAGCCATGCTGTAGGCTATAGGGTGAGTGTGTTCTCTCTGCTCTTTCCAGATCACAGCTAGCAACTTGCTGCTTTGACTTAGCACAGCTTCAGTGCCTTTTGAAAGGGCTGGGGTTTAGCTCTTATTTCATGAACTACAGAGTACGGTGGGCAGTTCCTCTTGAAAGTTTACATTAAATTTTCTGCCACTCACCTCCTCATATGGAATAGTTTAAAGGTCTCTGAAGTGTATGCTTTACTCAGAAGCAGAATACTAAAAGATTTTGTACTTTCAGTCTCATCAGCTGTTAGTTGCATAGGTAAAGTCTGCCATGCTGGCTGACCATGGCACACAGAAACGGCATACTTAAAACATCATCTACCTTTCCGTTGACCTCAGAGTCCATAGCTGTGTTTGGGCTTGTTAGTGAGCTAAGACCTGCACCTCAATCCTAGAATTTAAATTTGTGGCAAAGAATCAAACCATCTTAAAGGATTGTGAAGAGTGAGGCTAGAAGCATTAATGCACTTGTTTCTGTGCAGCATAAGCAGTAAAATACCATATTAAAAACAATAGCTAAAACATCGATTTTTAAAAATCAGCACTATTTAAAAGAGAAAGAAATACTTGAATTAAGAGGGCTGAGCCATGCCAAAAGGTTGTGCAAAGACCTGGAAAGCAGCGGAACTGTAATGGAAGGCAGGTCCTGTTAAGTAGCGTGTTTCTTGGAGTCTTTGGAAGTCCAACCCATCTACCAGGAGTTAAGTGAAAACACCTTGTCTCCCCCTTTAATGAGCATATTCTGTACTTTCTACTGCCCCATCATGTTGCCTCCAGAACTCTGGAAACAAATCGATCCCAAGGAGTTTGTTTCCATGACAATTGTAACCTCCCAAGTCCTCCTAGAACTTTCTTTCCACTTTGTGGAAGGCGCACTTATAATTCAAGGGAAGTATTGGATTCAAACTCAGTGTACAGAAAATAATTAGATGCTGTCCCGAAGCACATTTTGAGGCCTAAGCCTAGATTGTAGTATTCCAAATGCAGCCCTTACTCTTCCCTTAGGGTGGATATTGATTACCTTAAAAGAAAATACATTTACCACACAGAACTGCATTGAGTTACCATTAGCAATTCAAACATGCACAAACAAAATACACATTTCAGAATTTGTATTTCATGGTGCTTAGGTATCACAGATGATACAAGAGGGGTGGTCTTACAGTAGACAGTGTATACTCCTTAAGCTGTGCTGATATTAATCTCAGCCGAGTAGAACTCCAAAGTACTTGTTGCTAGGTTAAGGAATGGATTGTCTGTTGTAGTCTGCCCGACGATGAACGAGTTGCGAGCCCATCTTACCCCACTTCAGAGTGACAGGGCAGGCTTTGTGACATTGACATTTCGGATGCTTGCTGTGGTACAGCTTTGACTGTAGGTCTGATGTCTGTGAAGGAAAATGTTTTAAATCATTCCTGTGAGTCTTGCTGTTTTCTAGAAAGGAGCAAAGGTATGAGTAAGTGTCACTTTCCCTTCTTTTTCCAAGCTGGAGAAAGTGGCTATTGTGGAAGATCTTCCTCTGTCTAGTACAGTGCGTCCGATTGCAGAAGGCAGGAGGTTGAGCCAAGAACGCAGCAGTCTTACCCTTCCAGAAGAGTTCAGGGAGTTACTTGAGTCTCCTGCTAGTGGCAGACAGGGATCTCTCATGATAATTGTCACAGGCTGATTTTTTTCAAACAGATATTTGTGGTTTAACAATGCCTTTACAATCAGCTCTGGCCTTAATCTAATTTTAGGACTTCTTCTTCTTTTTTTGAAGTGATGCCATTAAAATGCTCATTTCATCAAGTAGAATGTGATGCTGTTTAACTATGATATCTGTTTTTAATGTGGAGTTTTTGGCAATCATAAGGAAAGTAGTGTACTCTGGCTCTTGATCAGTACCATCTACTGGAAAACAGCATGAGACTCATGGAAAATTTTTGCAGGCTTTGCTAAGAATTTGTGCATCTCCTGTCATACGTGAATGGGAAATGACAGCCAAGTGCAGGCAATACGGTTTTGTTTCCCGGTAAGGTCTGTCCTGGCTTTCTTTTCATTGCTAGGTGACCGTAAAGGGTCCAGTCCCATGCTCATGTGGTTTGACTGCTCTTACGGACCTTGTCTGAACACAAATATTGCCTTAGTCTAACTGTCAGGATTTAAATTAATGTTGCTAAACTAGCACAAACCCATGTGCACATGGAGCTCAGGTTTATGTAATCAAAATCTTGGGAATGTACCATTGTTAGTATCTCCAGCTCAAAAAACTTTATAGAGCAAAAAACCAGGTAAGAAGTAGATCAGAACAGCAACACAAGTCTCAAATGCAGGGATTTAGTAGGTCAGCAGTTGGTCTATTTACCACAGTCTTATTTAATCAAAGTACCTCTAACCTCTAACTTTTTTATCTCTCTTAATGTGGCCCAGGTTTCCATAACAGGGCTGGCATAGCAGGAAATCAATATAGTAAATTAGATTACTTGGAGACTTCTCCCTTCAGTTTGAATGTGTGTGGATGGGATATTTAGAATCTGACAAAGCTGGTAGAGGTGAAAGACACTGTCTACAGTAGGGTAGATTGTTGCTAAGAAAATAATTGACAGAGATGTTATAAAGCCTGAAAATTCCCATTCCCAGGGGAGTTTAGTATCCAATGGTATCGCTAGTGGCCTCTCAGTCAGCCATTTACTATTGGACCAAAATGTCAGCTGACTCCTGGGAGCTGTTGGGAAGTCTGTTTGAAATGAGCAGTAAACATAGGTGTCACCTCAGAGATGTAGAACAGTGTTAACTCCAACCATGTTCAGCGTTTCAAAGACAGACCAAAAAAAGGCCACAGCGCATTGTGGAGCAACTGCACTGAACCATCTCATCCTCACATGTGAATCTTTGTCTCAGACTGTGGCTTCATAATTGCGTTAAGCCCATCTGTGTGCAGACAGCTGCTAAAAGGTCTAGTCCATCCTTTGCCAGCTGCATGTGCCAGCCTTTCCTTGGGCCACAGCTAGACCTCAAGCTGCTGCACCATCAGCTCAATTTGAGTTCAGCATTTTATAGTCCTCGATCTGACCTAACAAAAACTGCGTGACCAGTGGAATTGATGTAAGGTAGCAGAAGACACCGATTAAATTGAGATACAACTGTCTCCTGGTTCCACAGATCTCACACTGTATTTGTTCAGTATTGTATTTTCAATAGTTCTTGTTTGTTTGTTTGCTTGGTGGTTTGTTGTTTTGGGGTTTTTTGTTGTTGTGTTTTTTTTTTTTTTTTGTCTGATGAAATAGGTAAAAGAATTTATCAACGCAGAGCTTCTGGCTCACTTGTATTCTTCTGAGGACCAAAACACTCTAATGGAGGAGTCGGCTGAACAGGCACAGAGGCGAGATGAAATGCTGCGCATGTACCAAGCACTAAAGGAAGCCCTAGCAATCATTGGTGATATTAGCACTAGCACTGTCTCAACCCCTGCGCCCCCTCCTGTAGATGACTCTTGGCTTCAGCAGGCCCGCAGGTAAGGATCCTCAAATCTGTATTGCAGTGAAATTTAGGACAGGCAGACGTTGTCAGCTCGCTACCTGCCTGTCTTTTGGGGCAGACACTCCTCCAGGTCTTCAGTGACATTTGTGAGGGAAATCAAAACATTTTCCAACAAACACATATTCTGTGGGTATTTATGTGAACACCAGACAGGATATTTGCCTTGCAGAGGACCGTCCAGTGGATTTATAGCTTGTCTGATGCTTCAGATAGCAGCCACTTCTGTCACCCCAGTTGTGCATCCACAAGGCCTCTTCTTGCAAGCCGTTAGAATAATTCAGCATCTCAGGCTCCTTGTCCTAGAAAATCCACTTAACAGAACACTATTTAAAATTCATTACACTTACCTCTTTGCTCATATGTTTATTTCTGACTGTCGTAAGGCATGCTGTCTGTTGGAAAGGTAAGTGTGAGACTTAAATATATGATGTGATGCTGACACTGTCAGCAAAGGAAAATGCCAAGAAAAAACAGTGGTCGTAGGCATAAAAAAGGTTTTAATTTCTGTTTAAAAATAGTAAAATTAAAAATTAAATTAAAAAACCCCAAACAAAACCCCACCTTACTGAACTTCTTAAATCTCTGATACTTCGCTAGATCACCTCCTCCAAGTCCCTCAACACAGAGGAGGCCTACACTAAACAATCCCCCAACCAGACCTTTATCTGGCCGAGGACCTGCTCCTGCGATCCCATCTCCAGGCCCTCAGTCAGGGGCTCCCCCGGTCCCGTTCCGCCCAGGACCACTGCCTCCATTTCCGAGTGGTGGTGAAGCCCTTGGAGGACCTCCCCAGGTTCCCTCTCGGCCAACCCGGGCACCTCCCAGCGTCCCAAGGTAAGATATCTAATCTACCGGGTGGTGGGCATGGTTCTCTCCCTCTAGCATAACAGACAGATTCTAAACTGTGTCGGAAAGTCGAGCACTGTTGTTGAAGTAGTCTTGTAGCAAAGCAAAATCAGGCACTTTGGGGAACCAATTTTTAGCACAAATATGACTTTTTGAAAAGATAGCAAGTTTTTTAATGAAAAAAAAATCCAGTTAGTCAGTTTGAAGATTTTCTTATGTTTTCTTACATTAAGAACCCCTGTTCTGGTTGTGTTGTACCCACATAGGGGTTCACAGAGAGAGGTCATCTACTCCTCCACCAGAAGAGGGGCAGGGGTACAACTCCGCACTTCTGCCGTTCTGAGTCCTCACCAGAGGAAGTAATGGCTCTTCTGGGAGAGAACAAGAACAATCCTTGTAGAAGCAGTGGAACAAACTGATAGGAGTCTGATTTTTATTCCGCAAGGCAAGTAATTTACAGCCAGTTGAAAACAGTCCGTAGTTGTTTAACAGTGTAGGTCATATGGTACAAAACGATTAGTTAAGGAGCAGGATTTTCATGACCACATCGTTTCCTTTCCTTCCCAGGGCTTCACATTTATCAGTACTTTTTAAAGTAGCTTTGCATATTTTATAATTTTGTGTAGCATTAACTGCTTTTTTATATGTTGTATGAATAAAATGTCCTTAATATTTATTTTCACAATGACATAATACACATAAGCACTCATATATATATATATATATATGAAAGTCTGTGATTCCAAGGGCTCTGGTAACTGCCTAAATTATGAGAGGCATGGGCAGATTAGGCAATGTTGGAACAAAGGGGTTTCTCCATTTTTAATAAATTAACTGTTACATTAAAATTAGTCACAGTTTGAAAAAAAATGCCAGTTAAATAGAGTCAAAAAGAAAATGTGCACATTTTAAATTTTAGAAATGGTAATTGAGAAGAGAACCTTTGGAGAAAAACTTTTAAATACGTGAGGTCTATTGTAGTTGTCAGTAACTTAAATTTGAGGCTCAATTTCTAACGTAATTACCCCTTATAATATGAAGAATAAATAAATGAGGTATATCAAAGGAATGAAGTATTTTTATATATTTGCTATGAAATGGCATTGTTGCATCAGTGCCCAGCCATGAAATGCATTATTTCATCTTAGTGGGTATCCCGTAGCTCGCAGTAGGACTGCTGGAGAGAAACCTAGAATTGCCTTTCTGGGTACTAAACTTTGCGCTGAAAGGGAAGAAGTCCAAGCAGCATTCCCTTGCTGGGAGAGCCTGGGACTGAGCTGAAGGGCACTGGCCCCAGTGTTTCCCCTGTGCCATCAGAGGGTAAATCACATACCAGATATGAGGTCCAGTGTTTGTTTTGTCAGTTGTACTACTGGAGAGAACCATAGCTCCCTGGCGTCTCTTACCTTGCCTTGCAATGAGCATGTCTCCTTTCTCCTGCCTGGCTGTGATTTTGCATGAAAATTGCTTTCCTGAGGTGGTTTGCCAAGAGCGTGTCTGATGATAATCTTTTTGATGCTAAAGTGATAGGTGGGATGGAGACCAGAAAAGAATTTTCTAGTGCACAAAAGACACTTGGGTAAGCAGCCTGCGAACAACTCAATTTGTGACTGCCACGGGTGGCATGCAAAGCAGTGGCTGATAAAGGGGGTCAGTGTTTTTAAAATGCTGTAGCTGGATATATAATTGAATGTACGACTGCCTGACATTTTTGTGGAAAAAATATCTGCAATACACATCTTCTGGACTGGATCCTAGATGTCTTTTTTAGAGCTACGACAGCCTCGGACATTTAAAAAAGTGCAGCTGCTTAAGAATGAAGGAAGGGTTTGCTGTTTTGCTGAAACTTCAGGTTTCTCCTGCTGACTAAACTCCAAGAGAGGAAATCCCAGGGAAGGGGCTGCAGGGGAAATCACCTGAGGGGGACAGTGTGGCCAGCTCCTGCGCCTATTAAACGATTCTTTTGAGCCCTGGAATTTCTGCTACGCTTGGTCTGGTTTTAATAACAGCCTTCGCAGGATCATAGGAAATTGACTCAGAAAATGGGTCTGAGATATTAAAAGGGGAAAAAAACAGTTTTGAGGAAGAGTTCTTGTGGAAACTTGAGCTTTCTCTGTGACTTATTTTTGAACTGGGGCTCTGTGCTCTGACTGCTCTACCACCGTTTTCTGCAATGATTCCTTGCAATGTCAGGATCTCTCATATCTAGGGGAATAGTTTAGCTTCCCGAGAAGAAAGTTGTATTTTTAAAGTTTATCTAGCTTTCCAAAGGAGGTTTTTGTCGCAGCCCCTGTCACTGTCACATGGAGCTGAAAATCCTGACGTGCTGAACAAGTACAAGCTTTCTGTTTTCTCTTGTTCTGCCTTAAGATAAAAAGATAGTTTTCAAGGGTAAAACTTGGACCGTCCTTTTCCAACGAGCAGCTGAGCACAGGTTTGGTTTGGAGAACTGGGCACCTTATAGTGAGATACAGACCCTGCCTTTAAAAAAACCCTTCTTTTCCTCAACTTTATTAGTATTTAATCAAAGGAATTGTACAGAATTGATGAGCTCTCAGCATTTTCTCACTGTTTCTTGCTTACTGTACAGGGAAAGGAAAGGGGTTAGGAGAGCAGGAAATAATTTTCTTCCTTGCTTCGCTCTGATTCTAAAGCTGTTTCGGGTTATGTGCTCTGAATATTTCTGTAAGGAAACAGAAACTATTTGCATGATACATGCCTCTTTTAATTAATCCCACTTGAGGTGGGTGGATCTCTCCCAGCAAAGCCTGTGAGTAAAGGCCCCTGGCTTTAAGGGCTTGATGCCAAAGCATATATGATTTGTGAAATATTCCCTGCTGCCAGAATTTAGATTATTCCCCCTCTCTCTTAAAAGGCTGCAGTAGTATTTTGAAAGAAAATGCAGCTGTGTGCTCGCTTCAGTAAGATGGCTTTAAGCAGGCACTAGAGCCACTTCAGCTTACCGTGGTGTGTGCTTGCCTGCCTGTTTGGAAAGCCTGATCTTGACCAATTTTAGTTCTACTGTGGATGCTTTGATTTACGGCTTTTAAATGTCCTGAATGGGAATCTCAGCTTTGCCACAAAGAAAACAATTGAATTGGAACCATTTTTCTCCTGGCAGCAGAGCCCCATGGTGTTAGTGGGAGTGGGAGGGTGCTCCCCTTTTCTCTCTGTGTCCTGCTCTGCAATGCTACTGTGGATTCCTGAAGGCTTTCCCAACAAAGCACTGGAGATCGTTACTCACTTTTCCATTAAAACATACATGACCCCACTCAATGTAGAGCCCTGGGACCTGATTAAACAGGGGTCTTGAAGGGCTGGACCGTCCACTCAAGCAGGCGGGTACATAAATGCTCTCGAGCACGTGTATTGCACCCTCAGGCATGCTGGTGCTCAGTCCCTGGGGGCTGAGGGTGGTCTTTACATGTGAGGCAAGCAGTGAGGAAAGAATTAATGTTGTGCTGTTCGTGAACAGTTCCATACACTCGTTACAATTTACTTCAAGCCACATCCAGCCAGCGTGGAAGGGGTGATGGCTGCTATGCAGCTATGTTTTATTATGCCATTGAGGCTAATTACATGACCTGTTGTGTTTGTAACTAATCTACATTGTAAGCCATTATTACATATTTCTGCCAACCTGGCATAAAAAAGTACTTATACTTGACAGTAATTACAGTTAGAAATTTCCAGACAAAGTCAGAAGCACTGCAGAAAGCATCACTGCCTGACGTTTCCTGGTCCACAGGTTCTGTACTCAGCTCTTTGATTGCCAAATATCAATCATTAAGTAAGTTTTCTGTGATGGATTTTTATGGATTAGAGTTCTTTGGAAAGATTTAATGTAATGTCTAACCTTGTGCGTGGAATGATAAGGGGATCCCTTGCAAAAATTGCACATGATCCTCTGATTAAAATCCGTCATAGTGCATAGGCATATAAGGCCAGAAGGGTTATCCTGCTTTAGCCTGGGAATCTCCTCTCTTCTAAAAGTTTGACCTTGCAGCCTTAAAAGCTAACTACTATATTTTTTAAAGGAATATAGACAATAATCAAATAGCCATTGCATGAAACTCTTCTGGCAGGATGAGTAAGTGCCCACCTTAAAGCATTTGCATGCTGAGTTGGATGATCTCAATCTGAACACCCAAGCAGAAGAGCACAGCTCCGTCCAGCAGTAGCATCCATTTGTCCTCTTTGAACAGATCTTCAGTGAAGGTTATATTCAAAAAGTATAATCAGCAATTAGGAGTGTTTCATGCAAGCAAAGAGACAAGAGCGTTATACGGAGGGATTTCAAAATCCTTCAGGGGAAAAAGAAAGCCAAAGAATAACTAGTTTAATTCTGCATTTCATATATGTGATCAAAAGAATATACAGCTACGTGGGTGATGCCAAGCCAGCTCCCATCACAGGAGGGATACAATCAGTATGTTTCCAACTCTGCCTGTCCAAGGACCTCAAAATCACGAGACTTATGAGAGTATCAGATATTCTTTCTGTGATTTCTGCTCCGGGGAAAGTGATTTGTTACTAGTCTAATTTACATTCCTTGTTGAAATGCACACCTCGTAGGCACACCCCAAAAACGTTCCTTTTGCTGCTGGCTGCTTCAAGCAGGAGACTCTGTTTGTTTTCCCTTATCTCTTAGAAAGCAGCTCTGCTTCTTCCCCTCCTCCACTGGCCCTTTTATCACTATTTTGTTTTCCCTTTTTTCTGCCCTTCCCTCACTGTCCCTTTCTTGACCATCCTGTTTGCTTCCTCTTTCACCTTCTCCTTTCACTTGGTTTCCTGCCTGGTACATTTGTCTCCCTTCCCCACATATTCCCTCCTTTCCTTCTCACCATCTTGTCTTGGTTTCTTTCCAATTTATCCCTTCTCCGGCACCTTTGTAAATCTGTCTCCTGCTCCTTGCATTTCTGTCTTCTTTTAAAGTTTTTCAGACAGTTTTCAAACCATAAAATGCAGTATTTGGTCGGCTTTCTTAA